TCTGCAGGTGTTATACACTGCACGTGTTTTCAGACTTTTTTTTCAATATATCACTATATGGGCATTGAGGTTAGAGGTTTAGGGGTACTGGGACTCCAAAATCACGACATGCAGGTCCTGCCCAAATGAATTCTACCCCAGCCTTCTTTCAGCCAAAGACAAGGTTTATCAAAGATCAGCCATATTGACCAGACTCTTAAGGAATCTAAGCATTTGTATTGCTAATGCAAGCAGGCCAGATCTTAAGAATCTGAGCCCTTGGCTAGACTTTAAAGAATCTCAGCCCTGGCTAGATTTTAAGAATCTCAGCACCTTAATGGAGAAAAGATGAATCTTACATACAGAAAGACTGTGGGAAGGATGTAGGAGTGGTCAAGTAGTCTGGGGTGACTGGAAGAGGGGGTCTCTGGTGGATCTGGATGGGAGTGGCCAGTAAGCTGGGTTGAACAGAAGACCAGGGACCTGGACCAGGTGGCCAAAGGAAAATGGAGTCTAGATAGTATTAAGGGTGGGAAGTGGCCAGGAACAATCAGGAGGTAACAGAACAGAATTGGGAGATGGCACGTAGTCACAATGAAAGGCCAGTTGAATGGATTACAGCCTTAGGCAAATACCAGAGATTTGGGAAAGGTCCAGGGATTTTCTTTTTTAGGGTTCAGATCCCAAAGACATGGTCTTTTCCTTTTAGGGGTTCAGATCCCATCCCCATCATAGGTAATATAATCAATATATATTTTTCAATATATCAATCAGTTGTACTGACTTTTTTTTCCTTTCTAGAAAATACTATTTGTCATACAAGATGACTCTGAGAAAGGGGCAGAGAGGAATACATGGGATACTAGAGTGATATAAGAAATAGAAAATATCTATAAAACTTATTAAAAACAACAGTTAACCAACTACTTGTATGACCATTGGTGGCTTTACATCCTTGAGCTTTATCTGTAAAGTGAGGTAGTTGGAGCAGATGACCTCTTAGGTCACTTCCAGCTCTAGGTTATTCAGTGAAGCTACTGATGCAGTTTAGGGGTTCAGGGGTCCTGGGACCCCAAAATCACAACACACAGGTCCTGCCCAAAAGAATTCGACCCAAGACTTAGCACATTGGTCATATTGGGCAGACTCTTAAGGAGTCTGAATATGGGTAAGTAGTGGCTAGATTATAAGAATCTAAGCAGTTGCTAGGTTATAAGAATCCAGCATTTTATATACAGAAAACCTGTAGGAGGGATCTAGGAGTAGCCAAGTAGTTTGGGGTAATGGGAGGAGGGGCCTAAAGAGATCTGGATAGGAGGGGAAATGGCTAGGGGCCATAGGGAGGTAAAACAATGGAGGCCAGGCTAGATTAACAGAATTGGGAGATTGGGTGTAGCCACTAAGAAAGGCCAGTTGATAGGATTATAGCCTCAGGCGAATGCCAGAGATTTGGCCCTGTGGGAAAGTCCAGGGTTTTTCCTTTCTGGGGTCTAGATCCTAATCCCATCACTACCATATTGCTTCAGGGGAGCAGTTTCCCTGTGCTGGTCATGATGTCAGCGAGCCACCTGGGGAGGAATTTGGAACTCCTTGTGGCCTGGTCCTATAAGACCAGGAATCCTCCTCAACAATTTGAGCAATAAAGTCTCTTTCCTTCCTTAAACTAAGGCAAAGGCCTTAGGAAAAGTTAGCCTAATTCACACAGCAGGAACCTAGGAAACACTGCTTTTATCACAGGTAGGGTAACAAAAGTCTGGAGCAGGAAGTACAGTTTAGTGAGAAGAGGATAGAATGCCACATTGTGGGAATGGGGTATGTATGGATGGAAGTGAAACCAGGAAAATTAGCCAACCCTACTACCCATGAGACAGAGAAGAGCTTCTCTTTCCTCTTCATACCAGTTATATCTTTTCCTATTTCCTCTTCCGAGTTACAAAATATAGGAAGGAAAGGTATGCATACTCTGGAAGATTAAGAATAATGGATAGTTTGTTTAAAAAAAATACAAACCCACAAATGGTTATCCTTGACTTGAAAAGGTTTATTTAAAAAGTATGATTTAAAAAAAAAAAGGAATTCCCAACCCTGTGAAATAGTCACTATAGCATAGTTAATATGGACATTGTATCACATATTTCATCATTTCCCTTTCTCTCACCCCTATGAGGAAGGGGATTATTGAGGTCAGAATGTAAGAGTAGAGTTTACAAGAAAGAGGGCAAAGAGAGTATGAGAAAAGATGAAATGGAAGAGAAGGGATGGATCTAGCAGGTATTTTAGATGGTGCTATAATATATGCCTCTGGTAAATTAATATGTTGAAAATAAGAACATATAATTATTTTTCCTTAAATTAGAGCTAAAGAGAAGATAAAAACAGAGTAGCTAAGTGGCACAATGGATCGCATTGAACCAGGAGTCAGTAAAACCCGAGTTTAAATCTAGCCTTTGCTATTTTAGCCAGGTGACCCTGGGCAAATCACTCAACTCCTGTTTACTTCATTTTCCTCAGTTGCAAAATGGGATTAATAATAGCACCTGCTTCCCAGGGCTGTTGAGAGGATAAAATAAGATAATATTTGCAAAGTTGCTTTACAAACTATAAAGTGCTATATAAGGGTTAGTGATTATTATGAATAGGTTAAGGGAGATGTAGCCAACTGAAGTCAGCATCAAAGTCAAACTTGTTTGGCTTTCCCACCTGTTAATCGATAAAAGTACCTCCTATATTTTGTGAGCCCACTCAGTAATAAATGATTATGGATGAGAGAATAGTGATGAAAGGCATTCAGCAAAAGCAAATGGAGAAATTATTTTGATGAACAGACACCCCTTTGAGATGTTCATGTGATGGGGAGCCATATGCTGAAAATACAGCATTTCACTTCCTAATTCTTTCAGTTGCAAAGTGAGTTAACAAGTCATAATGCTGCTCTGCTGAAGCTGTATTTACCAGTCTGCTGACTCTGCAAGGGACCCAGGCCAACAGAAAATACAGCTAGTACTGCCAAAGAGGTGAGAGTAATAGAAGGAGATGACATTTATGTGATGCCTTTAAACTTTACATTCTCTCATTTAATCTTCACAATAAACCAACAAGGTAGGTAATGTATGTTTCATAATTTCCATTCTACTGATGAGAAAATAGAAATTGAGAGGTGACCCAGTAGGTATTAGAATCAGAACTTTAACCCTGGTCTTTTCATTTTTAAGACCAATGCTATTTCCCTACTCTAAACTTCTGTTATCCTAGTGTATTTTGATTTCTGCTTGGTTCAACCACTGAGGACAAGCTTCTGGTGCTAATTGGTATATCCATCACATATGTTTCCAGCAAAGGCAAGAGAAACCATTTTTCCTATTTCAAATGAATCAACAGAGGCAGAAATAGAAAACTCTGCCTTTGATGTGACTGAAAAAGCATTTAAAAATGTTGAGGGAGCAGGTTTCCAGGGAGAAAGGTTAGCCAGTTAACTCCTTCCCCAAGAAAAAAAAGCAGGTTCTTAAACTTTGACCTTCACCCCCACTGCTTTTTCTTTCTCCCCCACTGACAGGTTCTCAGGGTTGGAATGAACCTCAGAAATCATACAAACCACTTTGTATCCGTAAAGGTGATCAAATCTGTCCCCTCCTCAACATTCCCAACACAGGGTCATCTAACCTGTACTTGAAGACCTCCAGTGAGAGGAAACCCCCACTATGGTACATGATACTATGTTACCATAGAAAGAACATTGCTCTTTCTACTGCTAGAAGACCTGGGTTTGAATTCTATGGCTGCAAATTACTTAACCTCCCTGAGATTTGGTTTTCTCATTTGTAAAATGTGGGGTTTGGTTTCCATGGCCTCTGGGGTCCTTTCTAGCTCTATAGGAATGATCTCACAGTCTCCCAAAGTAGCCTATTCCATTTCTGGACGGCTGTTTCTTTTGAATTGAAATGAAGTCTGTCTCTCTATAAATTATCATCACAGAGTTGGATGGGTTCTAAGAGGTCATCTAGTCCAACTACCTCATCTTGCAGATTGACTTCAAGGAGGTGAAGTCCCCAGAAGTCACACAGGGAGTTGGTTAAGTGGAATAAATAATGTTCAAACACTCCATCCTCAGACTTCCAGACCAGCAAGCTTTTCACCGAACCACACCATCGGCTCCTAGGTTCTGCCTTTCGGGGCTAACCAGAAGTCTACTCCCTCTTTCACATAACACCCCTTAACCTACACACACTTACATGGTTTTCCAGCCATATCAGGCTTCAATTTGTCACCTCCGCCTTAATCTGTTATCAATAATAGCTAGCATTTATATAGCACTTTATGGTTTACAAAGCACTTCATAAAGTGTAGGAAAGCTATATTATCCAAGGCAAAAGAGAAATTGAGTAGGCGACTAAAACAATAACTGATAGGCCTACAACCCTTCTCCGGGGTTCTCAGTCAAACACCCAAAGCATACGACCAAGAACGAGAATCCCTCCCCTTGCCCCTTTGGGCTCTTGAGCAGGAGGGGGCCGTGCTGCTGTTGCCCCTGCTGCTGCTGTCGTGCCCCCACCTCCCACCTCTTGGCCAGCTAACAGAGTGATTGATGGAGAGGGGAAGAAGGGCTGGTTTCTCGGCGGCTGCTTCGGGATCTTGGCAGGAGGAGCCTGTGCTGCTGCTGCTGCTGCTGCTGTCCCTTCCTTGGCCAGCAGACAGTGACAGAGAGGGGAAGGAGGGCTGGTTTCTCGGTGGCTGCTTTGGGCTTTTGAGCAGGAGAGGGACGTGCCGCTGCCCTTGCTGCTGCGGCTGCGGTTAAGTTGCCAATCGCTGACAAAGGCAGCCCTAATGAATCACTCAGGCAGCGCCGCGATCATGTGGTGCCGGGGCCGGCGGACCCAGGGCAGCCAAAGAGGAAGTGCGAGCTTGTTTTCTTTCAGTTTCTGAGCTCCTAGCCCAGCAAGATGAAAGGGGGCGGCGGCCGGAGCAGGAGCAGCAGCAGCAGCGGCGGCGGCAGCGGCGGCCGGAGCAGCAGCAGCAGCAGCAGCAGAAGCAGCAGCAGCGCCAGCAGCCACAGCAGCAGCAGCAGCAGCAGCAGCGCCTGCAGCCTCCGCGGACGCAGCCCGAGGACTCCATGAAGTCCGAGCGGCGCCTGCAGCCCAGTCCGGCCGAGCCCTCGGTTTTCTGATGGAGGTCCCTCAATGGGACCCACTGAGAAATGACTCCCTGCCACCCACCCTCACCCCAGCCGTCCCTCCCTACGTGAAGCTCGGCCTCACCATCGTCTACACCATCTTCTATTCGCTCCTCTTCGTGTTCATCTACGTCCAGCTGTGGCTGGTCTTGCACTACGGGCACAAACGGTTCAGCTACCAGACTGTCTTCCTCTTCCTCTGCCTCTTCTGGGCCTCCCTGCGGACCATCCTCTTCTCCTTCTACTTCAAAGACTTCGTCGCAGCCAACTCGCTGAGCCCCTTCGTCTTCTGGCTGCTCTATTGCTTTCCGGTGTGCCTCCAATTCTTCACCTTGACCTTGATGAACCTGTACTTCACGCAGGTGAGGCGTTGGGGGTGAGGGACCCGCAGCCCCCCGGGGGAGGGCGGGCAGAGAGGGGCTGGCTGACTTGTCAGTCAAACGGTATTATTCAGCATCTGTAATGGGCACTGTGCTAAGTGATGGGGTTACAAAGAAAGGCAAAAAAAAAAAAAGGTAGCTTACAGTCCACTGGGGGAGAGGACATGCAGACAGCTATGTGCAAACAAGATATATACAGGATAAACCTGTCTGTCTGTCTGTGTCTGTCAGCCTGCACCTGCCCAGCTTCCCAATACACTCTCGCCAACCCAACCTCTCCTGTAAAACAAGAGCAAAGGGCATAAGGATTTCAGTTTCAAGGTTTGGTTTCTAGGACAGAGGAATGAGAATGTGAAAAAGGGATCTGAGAGTATTGACATACTGTAATTCCACCGGGTAACCCTTCTCACCAGGCCTCCCAACCTTTTTTCTATCCCCACTCCTTCCAGTCCTCAAGAAACTGAGGTAAAGGTGTGGAGTAGAGGCCATCACACAATACAGTTTACAGGTATAAACAATATTTTCCCTTAACCATCACTCTGACAGTTTGGGCTGTTTCCCAGGACTAACCCCAGATTTTGAGCTGAGATAATTCTGGAGCATTTAGGGGCCTTTCCCCTGTTGGGAGAAGAGCAGATTCAAAGGTCGATTGTAGCTTCCAGAAGGCTAGAATCCCTTCTTAAAAGTTAATATGTTTTAATGTCCCCTATAAACTATTTCTGGTCTCCATTAAGTACACAATTCCTGCATGAAGCCACTGTTGTTGGGGGTCGGGGAGGAGAGGAGAAGAGCTGCTTCGATTCAGAACCTGAGTAATTCCTGAGCAGGTGATTCCAAATTTTACTCCTTGGGAGCATTTAAACACCTTTTACCAAAGGAATCTTAATGAATTGAGACCTCCAGGCTCATTCCCCAACAATTGCTACACAACCCTCCACCGCAGTAAACACTCATCTCCATACCTAATATGAAGTTAGGCTTGATGCCTGATTAAGGACCTGGCTTTCTCATCTTAGAGGCCCAGGGAAAGAACCATAAAACTTGGTTGAGAAACTTTTATAGGAGCACTGGACCAATTTTTATGAGGCATATTATTAATAGCCCAATTTAAGGACATTCTGGTTGGCTCTGCCACTGCTTTGACATCAATATAGAATTAATAGAAGTCATTATGAAACATTTTGCAGATAGCATATAAGTTACTGCAGACAGGCTTAAGAAAAGTGACTCCATCTTAACCATCTCCCATTAATTCTTTTATCCAAACCAGGCACTAAATTTCCATTTTGATTGAGAACCAGACCAAAGACAATGACCATTGTCTTCTGATGAGGTTGTCAGAGGTTATATTGTCTAGCACGATGAGCCTAGTCATGTAAGCTAGCCCTTGTTTTGTTTGGGGCCACTAACTTCTTGACCAACTCTGTGTCTTTAATGTAAAAACTATAGATGAAAATAGAACTTGTCATACCTGCCTTTTTCACTGTCCTCTTTTCTCTCAACCTCCCTTCCACTCTCCAGGTAGTGAAAATAATACTGTGAATATTTGAATGAAGCATTTTTGTATGAAAAGTATAGCATGTTATTAATATCTTCTGGATATTAAAACCAGTGATCAAAATGGAACTCTTCTTAGTGCCTTTCACTGCTCTGTTCATTCATTCAGCCATTTAATTCATTCATTAATCAATCAACTAACATTTAAGTACCTACTATTTGTCAAGAACCCTAATTACTATTGGGGATGGAAAAAAAATCCTTGTTCTTAGGGAGTTTACAGTTTTTTTTCAGGATATTTTTGGTTTGTTTTTTAATTTTAAATTCAATTTTATTTTCAGCTCCAAATTCAGGAGTTTACATTCTATCAGGGGAAAACAACATATACAAATATAAGTAAATACAGAATGAAGACCAAGGAAATAACAAGGAATTTTTATTTTTGGAGGAGGGCCTGGTTGGGAGGCCTCATCTAAGAGCTGGCACTGGAGCTGAGCTTTTCAGGAAGCTAGGAATTCTAAGAAGATTAGGAGAGAGTGCTGAGCGTGGGGGGACAGCCTATGTAATGGCGGGGAGATGGGAGCTAGAAAGAGTAGCAAGCGGGCCAGGTTGGCAGGACGAGATTATATGAAGGGGAATAAACAGAGAAATAAACTGGGCCCAGATTGTGAAGGATCAAACAAAGGAGTTTGTATTTGATTCTAGAGATAATAGGGAGTCATTGGCACTCCTAGCAGTGGCCATCAATTAGATTTTTTTTGTTTCTCCAAACAGCAAATATTTATTGAGCATCTGCTATGCATAAACTACTGTGATAGGTGCTAGAGAAGATTTTGTTGTTCAGTAGTGTACAACTCTACATGACCCCATGGACATTTTGCATGGAGTTTTCTTGGCAAAGATACTGGAGTGGTTTGCCATTTCATTCTCTAGGGTATCCCCATTTTACAGATGAGAAACTGAGGCAAATAGGGGTAAAGTGACTTGTGGAGGGTTACACAGCTAGTAAGTGTCTGAGGCCAGATTTGAACTCAAATCTTTCTGACTCCAGGCCCTGAGCTCTATCCTCTATACCACCTTGCCATCCCCTACTGGAAAAGATACAAAGACTAGTAATAACTAATGTTGATATCGTACTTTATTTTTATAAAGCATTTTATATACATTATTTCATCTGAGGCTTACCACAAACCTCTGAACAGGTATCACAGGTTTTACTATTCCCAGGCTCAGAGATGTTACTACCTAACTTGCCTTTGGTCGCACAGCTTATGGAGTCGGGACTTGAACCCAGGTCTTCTTGATTCCAAGTCTAGCACTCTATGCAACACTGAGGCCCTCTTGGAGTTCAGTCTAAGAGTGTTGTATAATATATACAAAAATAAGAATTATAGACAAATGAATAAAAGGTACAAACCTAGATGAGTTCCAAGGGTGGTAGGAGGGTCCTTAATGTCCAGGAAGGAGACCCTTAGGGTGGGCTTAGGATCATAGCTTTAGAGCTGGAAGAGACCTTAAAGGTCATCTGGAAACTGAGGCCCATAGAGGTTAAATGACTTACCCAAGGTCATACGAGTAGTAATCGAGAAAACTGAGATTTTAACTGAGGTTATAGGATTATAGCTTTAGAGGCAGAAGAATACTTAGAGGCTCAAATCTAAACCCCTCATTTTATGGATCAAGACTCCTTTTTCTTGGACCACATAGCCTCCGTTTCATGTTAGAGATGGCATTTGAACTAGAGGAGCTGAGTGGGGGAGGGAATTCCAGGTGTTTGAACCCTGAGCAAAGGCCAGAAGGTGGAAGTGCAAGTGATCAAGTACACATTTCTGTGTCAACATACGAGTTGTACGTTGTCCATTCAAACACTATGCAGTCTATGCAAGTTTGCAAATTAGGGTGTAGGACTGGGTAATCACCAGGGTTCCTTCTAGCCCTAAAATTATATGTTTCTATCATAACAACTTTAAATGTTCTTAATATTATAGGCATTATAGACTTCTAGTGGGATTGCAAAATGAATTTAGGAAATATTGAGTTGGGTACTGCATGGAATGATGTATAGAGTGCTAACCTTTCTTATTCATTCAACGAATATATAGTACTTACTATGTTTATAACAGTGTGGAAATTTAGGTGCTAAGGGAGATGTCACAATTAGTGGGATTAGCACTAGCAAGAGAGTTGGAGGACCTAGATTCTAGGACTACTCTATCACCAACAGTGTTTGATCATCTTGACACTGGCCCAGTCACTTCAGTTCTCTCGGCCTCAGTTTCCTAGTCCGCAAAATGAGCAGATTGGATTAGACCAGAGCTGCTTAACTTTCCTTCCTTCCTTTCTTTCTTCCTTCCTTCCTTCCTTCCTTTCTTTCCTTCCTTCTTTCTTTCTTTCTTTCTTTCTTTCTTTCTTTCTTTCTTTCTTTCTTTCTTTCTTTCTTTCTTTCTTTCTTTCGTGTGTGAGATGGGCCCCCTTGGCTGTCTGGTAAAGTCTATGGACTCCCTCTGTGAATAATGTTTTTAAATAATTGAAACAAAAGTTAAATTTCAATTACAAATTAGTGAAAATAAAGATGTCATTGTTTTTCACCTCCAAATTCATTTGTGGTTTGAACTCTATCAATGGACCCTGGAGCAAGGGAGGAGGTTCTGAGGATTCCAGATCTAATAGATGATCTCTAAGGACCCTTTCAACTCTTTAGGCCTATGACTCCTTAAAAAAAACCAAAACTTTGATTGGTGTTAACATTAGACATGTAGTTCTTTATCTCTCGATTTTTAAGGGAGAAAAAATAGTGGAAGGAAAAAACAGGAAGCTAAGGTTGCATACTAATGATCATATATGCAAGTAAACCTTCATGATGAGCCAGAGCTTGCAGGTCTTTGCTGCACCATCTGCTGGTTAATGAGTAAATACCTGGCAAAGGGAAGAGTTCACACCCATACTGTGCTTTCTTTGGCTGAAGATGTAGCTGGGCAACAGCTCTAGCCTGAGAGGGAGGCATGGGGGGGGGGTGGTCATGCTTTTGACTCCTCTTCTCCCAGGTCTGCAGAAAGCATTTTGCTCAATAGCAAAGTATTTATCAGCCTAAAGCCTAGAGTTCCTCGATGATTAGAGGAGGCCGCATCTCTGACTTCTTACAGATCAAAGGCATTTCTTAGCTTTTTAAGCAGATAATTCAGATCCCTAGAGAGTTGTTTACAAGTACTAGGAAGAGGGTAGCTTTTGCTTGTGGGGTAGCTTTTCTTTTGATCTCCTAGCCCCAATCCTGGGTAGATTTTTGGGTCTCCTCATAAAAGGACCATTATCTTATATTCAGAATAGAATAGAATTTTTAGAGCTTCAAGTGATTGTAGAAATAATCTGGTCCCAATACATACAATACACCTCACAGTTGAGGAAAGTGAGACCCAGAGAGATTCATTGCCCAAGGTCATTCAGTTGGTCAGTAGCTGAGCTGAGACTAGTACTTGTAACATTTATAT